ATTCATGTTGATAAAGGGCGTTATCAAACTCCCCTGCATATTGTAACTAAGTAGCAATAATTGCCAGAACCATAGGCAAGAAAACCAACCCCACCCTAATGTAATGAGATTCTTCTAAAGTTGATTTTCCCGCTGCTTTTGCACTGCTGTTGTGAAGAGGAAAAGATCACAACTAATGGGAATGAGCTTTTATAATGAGAGGGTTATGTTGAGGGCTAATAAGCATAAAAGCCTGCATACAAGGGTTGAATATGTTTAATTAACTAATTTATAGTATGAAGAAATCAAACATAACCTGCGATTTGAATGAACCAAAATTAAGGACGAATATTACAAAAAAAAAAAGTAAAATTCTGATGTGGTGAGCTACTAAAAATATGGAATGTGAACCAGACTGGTCGAGTATGTAATTGGTTAATTAGGAGAACGATAAGTCTCAAATCGGTTGACGAGTTGTTCAAGCGCCATGAGTATGACAATGTGTGTATGTGTTAGGCGGTTAAACAAGTACATAATGATTTTGTCTCATTGCTTTACTTTTGCACACATTGACTGTTAAATACTATGATCATGATTCATGAAGAGGAAAACTATGGACATGTACAGTGATTATATATATATTTTGTCGTAATCAAAGGTACAGTCCCGACGTTAATTATTGTATTGTTAAGGCTGAACTAGAAACTGTGGTTTACCTTAGTGAATGAACACTAAACCCATACTAAACGGGATTACATATTGATTTGGAGGGGGAAATAAACATTAAACCCATACTAAACGGGATTACATTTTGATTGAGGTATCTTTTCAATTAAATTACTAAAGATCTCTTCCCCTAATAATCAGTAAAAATCTTTTCCTTCAAATTCCAAAGATGATTATAGTAATTCTTAGCACCAAAGCAATGGATTGGTAAACTCTTTCGTCAAACACTACTACAAAAATTGAAATAGACGACGGGGAAACGCCGTCGTCTTTTTCTTTTTCAAACCGTCGTTAAATCGACAGTCGTCTTTTTGAAAGTTAAACTACGACGGTAATTCACCGTCGTCTATTATATGTAAAAACGACGGTTTTTAAAAGAACCGTCGTCTATTACATGTAAAGACGACACTTTTTCTGAAAAAACCGTCGTCTATTTAATCGTTATTGAATGTAAAGATGACACTTTTTTTTATATAATCGTCGTCTATTAAATATAAAGACGACACTTTTTCTGAAAAAACCGTCGTCTATTTAATGTAAAGACGACACTTTTTCTGAA